TGTGTGTGTGTTCACAGACAGCGTTACAGTGAAAGCGTAAAAATTCTTGTTTTCGGAATTGACCTTAAGTGACTTCTTTTATAGTAGTGTACAGTGTCTGTATCTCTCATTGAGTGGTTAACTGCTGCTGCTTTAGTAAACTGTGCTGTTCCTCTACGAGCTGCAATTAGACACGTGTTTTTATAAAGTAGCACTTACATGTTATTACTGGTTTAACCAGTAACGGTGGTCACAGACACGCTGTGGTTAGTAAGGACACAGCCTTTGTTGCCTTCATGGGCACCCCATGAAGTGAGATTTTAGGCAATTTATGATTCAATTTAAATCGTTAAAATAACTTTATAGTAAAGCAGACTGTACCAAAGACTGTGCTTTAGTGTGTTAAGTCACTCAGAAACTTGAGGTGGTGGTAAAAGAGTCAGCTTATATTTAGGTCTACCACCCAAAGATATTAAATGTACAATGTTATAAAACACAGACAAGAAGCAAATCCTGTCCACATTTAAGGGGCACAACAGAAACAGAGGCAACCTCACGGTTTGATTAAGTCTGCTTCTAAAAATGAGTGAAACGATTGACCCAAATTGTTGGTGGTTCATTTTCTGTTGATTAATTGATAAATCAATTAACTATTAACTATAGGCTTCCTCTCTTTTGCCTTATGTCCATCTTCAGTTATTTCATGCTTTTTTTGTCTGCCTCCTTCAGTGTCACCTGCAGGAAGGTGGGGTATCATCGGGAAACAGGCGGTACCATTTTTTTTTGGGGGGGGGGGGGTTGTAGTTAATCTCACAATTCCGACATTTCGGACAGCACGTGAACGCAGACTTGCTCAGGGACGGGTCCACTCAGCGGGCCCCAGCCGAGCCGGTAACCGGATCCCGGGCTGAGGTCATGCCCGCGGAGAGACAGCTGCTGGCCGGCCGGGCAGCCTCGGGGGTTGGCGTTTTGTTGGGCTCCTCGGGGGGACAGAGGCTCCCAGAGCGCCTGGTTTATTTTCTTGGAAACTTGTGAGGATAAAGAGTTTGCCCTGCGGTCCTTTATGTCCTGCAGAGGTTGATAAACACGGCTGGTCAAGGTCAGAAACGTCCCCGCGGGGAAAAAAGAGCAGGGCTGGATGGGAGCAGCAGCAGAGAGACTTGAAAGAAAGCAGGACACGTGATGAATTAAATATGTCAAGTAGATTTTAATACAGTAAAAAGTTTGTTGTTATTGTATTAATCCTAATAAGTTAATAAAATATATGATATAGGTCGAAACCCCTCTCCTATACCAAAACTCTCCATGGCCATAACAGTGGAGTTAGTCATGGCAACATTGCATCAGCGGCTGGTGCTCAGGTATTTCAGGAAACAGTATCCTTATATGGTTTTCCTCTCAGGGCAGACTTCACCTGCTCTCCCCTCCACACACACACACACACACACACACACACACAAACTTCACGATATTATGACAAGGCCTCACAACCGCTTGTCAACCCTAAAAAGACTTTCCTTTCCTTTGCATGTTTTTGCTTTGTTGGGTGTTGACTTTCCCACCTCACTACACCCGCGGGCAGTCCTTATTAGCACCCAGTTCTTGTAGTAGCAATTGTCATCCTTTTTCTCCATAATGACAACGTTCTCAAGTGACGGCTGCCATAATAAGAGACACAAAAAGGAGGAATGTGTGATGAGCAGAAGTAGAAGGTGGAGGCAGCGTGTCTTGAATCAGTCACATGTGGTAATATAACCTGAGCTCAAACATACACTGAGGAGCAACTGATACGACGCCTTTCTTACAGACGCACACACACACCGTAGCCATGACTCTGTGTTTCATTAACATTGTCTCAGTCTGCTGAGCGCTGACTGCCCACAGTGTGTATGTGATGTGTGTTCATTGTGTGTTGCAGCCACAGCAGCGTAAATCCAATCCATGTGACAGTAGTCTCTATTAGGCCTTTAAAGGACTGTGTCTGTTCATGTTTGAACGACTGCTCTGTTCATCCCTTCTGCTCCGTTGATACACAAACAAAATGCTTTATAACTTCAACGTGGACAGTTCTTAGGCTCGCTCTGCACTTGATGTTAAACAAAGACACAAAATGGTGTCTTTTTGTTGGTCAGACTGAGGGAACACGGAGAGGATTAATGGTGACACAGTGAGAAACTGCACATTCAGCAGATAAATGTGGATTTACACCTGGGTTTAAAACGCAGAGCCATCTTAATTCATTAAAACAAATAATTAAAATGCAGGCGTTCATGTTTTTGGGTCCCCCCGGCTTCAAAGTCATTAACTTAATGACAGCACGTTAATTGTTTCCTGCTTTATGCGTCTTCTGCTATTTGTTGTTATAAAACACGAACAGACAAATTCTTTTTTCTATGACAGAATGATTGCTTTAAATTTTAATTGTATCATTTGTAACTGAGCAAGTGGAAATACTCCCTCATACTCCCTGAAGCAGAAGTCCATGCAATCACTTCTTTGCTATTTCAAACATCACATTACTTGTGAACAAGTTATTATGTTTTGACATCAACCATTCTCTGATATTCTGTGAGTTATTAGGAAAACACACACCTTGATATGTGATTATAGAGCTGAAAACTCATGATACGTGGTAATGATTCAGCAAAACATTTTATTTATTAAGCATCTATGATACATATGATACAGTATATACTGATGAGGAAAATATACCCTGCCAATGTAAAATAATACAGTATGTGCTCATTCATATGTCAGGGATAAAAGCCTGAACTGTCACAATCTATATTTCCATTAGAGCTGCAAAGATTAGTCTTGATCGACTTGATTGATCAACAGTAAATTCATTTTTTAAGTCATTTTACAAACAAGAGTTTTGTATCATTGGTCGGGCAATCAATTAAGTAACCTTGGCTCTAGGATTTTGAGTAATGTGTTACAGCCTCACCCTGATAATAGACACTCACAACCGAACCAACTTCATTCCTAGTCATTTTTACAAGCAAATGCAGTTATACTACTCAATAGAAGAAGTCCAATTTGCATATTACTTTGAACACAATTAAGACCAGAGGAAAACATATTGAGGGATGATCACCAGGAGTTTTCCATCTGCTGGTTAAAAGTCTCAGACACCACAGATGCGTAATGTTTGAATAAAACCATCAGTAAAAGTGATCACTAATCACAAAGATGTGTTGTGTGGAGGAATGCATTGAGGCTTTGGTCAGTCAGATGAAATATACCGTATTCATGACAAAAGAAAGCTCAGGAAACAGCAGGAGGGTTAATTAACAGGTTAATTTGTGGGTTATACATTTACAAGAGTGAATGAATGAATGAGCGTCATCTTGCCCTGTCGTCTCTTATTGAGAGATGGGAGTTGTGTGTGTGTGTGTTACTGAAGGGGTTTTCAGCATGGGGTGTCAGTTACATAGAAATCCCCCCTTTTAAAAACTCTTTTCAGCACAAAGGCAGTTCAGTGGACTACAGATAATCGCATTACATGCACGCCTCATGAGCAAATACGCAGAGACAAATCTGTCCCATTAGATCCTCTCTCCGGTTCCCATTCAACACACACACACACACACACACACACACACACAGATGCCCTCATTAGGAACTACTGAAAAGTGTTTCCTGTTTGAGGCCTTGACTGCAGGCCCCCCCCCCCCCCCCCCCC